GAAGGAGAAACTGAAGGAGGAGGAGAAGAAACGAGGAAGAGAAGGAATTGAAGGAGGAGAAATTGGAGGTGGAGGAGGAATTGAAAGAGATGGGAAAAGGGAAAAAGAAGAAACTGAAGGAGGAGGTATTGAAGGAGAAGGAGAAGGAGAAATAGGAGGAATTGGGGAAGAAGGAGAAATGTGAGGATTTGAGGGAGAAAGAAAAAGGAAAGAAGGGGAAAATTGGAGAAGGAGGAGGAGGAATTGAAGGAGGAGAAGGAGAAACTGGAGCAGGAGGAGTTGGAGGAGGAAAAGGAGAAGGAGAAATCCAAGTGGGGAGCTGCCACTCCCCCTCCATTGAGCAAACTCATGCAAAACGGCCTCATTCATCCCTCTGTCCATTGAAGGTGATAGGAGCTCAGCCGGAGACCCTCCTTCCGGTTTGGGGTGGGTTTGCTTCATACATGCCACATTCCTCCTCAAGTAACCCCAAGCCGGGCCACCCTCCCCCACTCCTTTGCAGAATTAACCAGGTTCCACCTTAACCGACAAGCCGGGATTTTAAGGTGCATTGGAGGGTTGGATGAGTGGGCCACACCTGCCTTACTCCCAGGAACCCGGGGCTGATGTAGAGCAGGAAGCTGGAGGGGGGGGGGGAGCAGAAAATCGGAGTTGGGGGGTTGGCATCCCAGCCCGGAGCTCTGTAGAAGATGCTCGGTACCCAGATGGCCATTCACAAATGTTGGCGAGAGCATCCTTTGTGTGTCTCTGTGTGTGTGAATGTAGGTCAAGCCCACCCCTGCTATGCCTCCGCTGAAGGGAACTGATGGTCCTCGCCTTAATGATCCCAACGGAGACCAGGATTTCTCGGCTAAGCGAGGAACGAGTTTTTGGCTCGTTTCCGCAACATTTCTTGCCGCTCATTGTCAAGTGAACTGCTGCCGTTGTTAAACGAGGAGCGCGGGGAGGGGTGTTAAGTGAACCTGGTGCCCCAAATCGACTTTGGCTTGTCAGAAGGGTCCCGCAAAAAAAGTGGGGGGTATGCATGACCCCGGGAGGGATGCTACAACCGTCGTAAATACGAGTCAGTTGCTGGACGGCTGAATTTGGATCGTGTGACGGTGGGGAATGCTGCGTCGGTTGTAAGTTGTGAAAAACGGCATTTTTTCAGGGCCATTGTAACTTCAAAGATACTCAAAGATTACTTTTAACAGTATAACAAGAGTTGGAAGGGACCTTGGAGGTCATCTAATCCAACCCCCTGCTCAAGCAGGAGACCCTATAGCAGAGATGGCTAACCTTTTTGGGCTCCTGTGCCAAAAATTGTTCATGTGCTTGCACGCTCACACTTGCGTGCCAGCGCCTGGAAGGCAATGCGTGCGCCCCCCCACGTCCCCTATACATGCATGCACAATCCCCACCCACGCCACTCCCTGACCAGCACTGCGCCTCACAGCTGATTTTTGGCCAGTTTGAGGCCTTTTTTGGCCTCCCAGAGGCTTCAGGAAGGATTCTGCAGGCTTTTCAAGCTGAAAACATTTAGTCACTTCCAGTATTTCTGGGGAAAAAAAAAAAATCAGCTGTGAGGCGTGCGCATGCGCAGCATGCCGGCACAAATGGCTCTGTGTGCTACCTGCGGCACGTGTGCCAAAGGTTCGTCATCACAGCCCTATAGCAGTGATGGCGAACCTTTTTGTCGTCGCGTGCCGAAAGTGTGCACGCACCCACATGCCTGCACCCATAACGCAATGCGCGTGCGACGACAGTCACGCATGCTCCACCTTTGCACGCCCCCGTGCACCCCTGCCTTCCATGCATGTGCCTGCATCTCTCCCACGCACGTCTTCCCCCACGCATGCATGGAAGATACCCGACAATCAGCTGGTTGGGGGGGGGGGCGCGGGCACGCAGAATGGATCAGTTCCGGGCAACGGCTCACATGCCGATAAAAATGGTTCTGTGTGCCACTTCCGGTCCTATAGCACTCTTGCCCCAAACTCTTCTTGCCCTTATTTGGGTTGGACTAGAAGACCTCCAAGGTTCCTTCCAACCTGATGATTTGATGTTTCTTTTGCTGAAGAAGATCTGAAAGGCCTTTTCACCCTTTGGCTCTGGTGCTGTGGGCCACTGACAACACCATCCCTAAATTAGGGGGATGGTCCTGCTATAAACCCTGCTGCAGGTAGTCCTCGACTTACAATGGTTCATTTAGCGACCGCTCAAAGTTACAGCGGCACTGAAAACCGGGACTTGGGACCGTTCCTCGCAGTTACGACTGTTGCAGCATCCCCTGTGGTCGTGTGATCCAAAGTTAGCAACTGGCTCAACTTAACGATGGTTGCAATGTCCTGGGGTCACATGACCCCCTTTTGCAACCTGATGAGCAAAGTCAATGGGGAGAGCCAGATTCACTTAACAACCGGTTTACTAACTGAACAACTGCAGTGATTCACTTAACAACTGTGGCAAGACAGATCGTAAAACAGGGCAAAACTCCGTCAACAAATGTCTCCGTTATTGTCATGCCCTTGTTGGAGTCTGATTCTGAGGGGGAGATTGAGGAGCTGACAGGGAGGGGGAGTGTGGCTCCGGTGGCTGTGGAAGAAATGGGGGAAGGGCACAGTCCTGCTGGGCATTCAGAAGAAGACCCAGGCCCACCCCCTCTTCATCCTAGGGCACGCAGGGAAAAACAGTGATCTTGTAACTTTGAACTAAATTTGTAACTAAATTTGTTGTAACTAAATGAATTGTTGTAAGTCGAGGACTACCTGTATCCATGAAGTCACCAAGAGTCGAGCCTGAAAGAGATTTTACTTACTGATTTTATTTATTTATTTACTTATTGCAGTGTAAGAATTGTATTTTCTGCTGTGTTTTTGGACATCCCTACAGCCCTGGGATTTTTTTTTGATGGTCTTCTATTAAAGTACAATGGCACCTTGATACTCAAACGGCTTTGAAACTAATCAAATTTGGCGCACAACGCATTTTGACGTAAAAATTTGGTCCCAGTACTTATCGTTGGTTTAATACTCAACGTACGAGCTAAAACTTGATGTTGCCTACCTTGTGATTCATTACATTAATCCAAGCTAGAGAAAAGAACTAGGGGGGACATGATAGCAGTCTTCCAATATTTGAGGGGCTGCCCCAAAGAAGGTGGGAGCAACCTATTTTCCAAAGCACCTGAAGGCAGGACAAAAAGCAAGGGGTGGGAACTAATCAAGGAAAGAAGTAACCTGGAATTAAGGAGAAATTTCCTGATAGTCAGAACAATTAATCAGTGGAACAATTTGCCTCCAGAAGTTGTGGATGCTCCAACACTGGAGGTTTTTGAGAAGAGTCTCTAATGCTATAGGGTCTCGTACTTGAGCAAGGGGTTAGACTAGAAGACCTCCAAGGCAGTGGTTGCCAATGAGTGGGCCGGGGAACAATGGTGATCCGCGAGAAAATTTTGGTGGTCTGCAGAGAAATGTCAACCCCTCAAAGCAATTAATCCAGGCTGCGTGGGAACACAAGGCTGCGCTGCCCACATGGCCCTTGGGAACACAAGGCTTGCATCGCTTGCATTGCGGAACAACACAAGATAGTGAGGGGAGGAGGGGAAAGGGCAGAGGCCCACGCGCCTGGCCTGGCCACTGGGCTGCTTCTTTCCGCTTCTTTCTTCTGCTGCTTTTGGCTGCACACAAAAAGTCTTTCTTTCTCTGCCCCAAACTTGAGACCCTGCAAGGCCTCCTTCTCCAAGAGGCTGCGCCGATGCGACAAGTCTCACAAAGACTCATTTCTGGTGAAGTTTGGGGGAGAGAAAGAAAGACTTCTGCTGCTTCTGCTGCTTTCCTTGCATGAACCCAAAAGTCTCTCTCTCTCTCTCTCTCTCTCTCTCTCTCTCTCTCTCTCTCTCT